CCGCATACCTACGTCTAAAAATAAATATATTCCAACTATCAATTAGTAAAAATGTATCATTGTGACAATAATTTCTAAGTACAAGATTTTCTGAAAATATTATAAAATAGGCATGTTTTTGAGCTAATAAAATATAATAATGGTAAGACGGCAAAAACTGAGCACCGGCCCATCGGGCAGCTTTTAAAATCAGACAGGGGCAAATGTCCACCTTGCAATCCCCCATCCCCCAAACGATGAAACTGGTTGTACGGTGTACCTATATTTGATAAAAATTCTCGAATACACGATCTCGAGACCACTCCGAACACCTAGAGGAAGGTAATAGCTTGATTTTAATATTCACATCTGATATTATTCTCCAGAACTTTGCACTTATAAGTGTAGAGAATCATACAGCTTCTTAATTTTAACATCCCAATTTAAATTACCTATTGACAGGAATTATTTTTATATTTATCTTATTTTTACGTTATTACATAACAATATGTAATACCTACATGTAGTGGCGGATTTTAAAAAATGTTCTAAGGGAGTCCTGAAAAAATAATATGCGTTTCACAGGTAGGTAGTCATTTTAATTTTATTAAAAACAAATACTAACTCGATTTTGATTAAATATATATAATATTTTATACATATTATGTCGGTGTCTAGTGCCCTCAAAAATTCGCCATTGTTATATACATACAATTTAAGAGATAATTAACAAAATATACGAACAATTATAGTAATTCAAATCAAGAACTATTGAACGACCCAATAAACTTACTCATATTTAAATATATAATTACAAATTTAAACAAAATATAATGGATTTCAACATCATATAATCAGAAAGTTTACATCATAAACTTGGAGTTGCAGATTCATTCTCTCTACCAGATTTCATAGAAATCGTTAGAACCAATGGGCCTAAGACAGCGGCCTCTAATCCTGGTTTCGGAATCTCAGCGTGGGTCAAACAAGACTTACGTACACATCACGTCTTCCAGAAGTTATACTTCCAGCAATCCAGTACTTTTGGTCTCATTGAAGCAGTTTCATTTGAATATAATAATCATAGAATATCTGCATTATACAAATCGCCCACATGTACAAACAATTCTTTTACGGAGTTCATAAACAAAAATATTTTTTTGCAACAACAATATGCCAACATTACTTTTTGGAGACTTCAACAAAGATTTTTTTAAATAAAATTGTATACATTCATGAAGAATGCTGGATACAAGGACGTTATTACCACCTTGTCCAACTACGCGAGGAGGCACACAAATTGATAATATTTTCGGAAATATTTCTAGTCAAACTGGAATTATGTATAATTATATTATATTAGCTCAGTGGCGGCGCCAGGGGGGGGCCTGGGCGGGCCACGGCCCCCTCTAAATTTGTCTTGGCCACCCCTTGGCCCCCCTAACCACAAGAGAAAAAAAATTATTTAAAAGAACAGATTATAAATCGAAATATCGAATAATTGTGGTTATAAATTATTATTATTATTATACGACCGTTATGATGCCCGTCTGCACGGCTATATAATATTATATACGCGAGCCGTGCCTATCTGTGACATTAATGTCATTTGTCAACGATTTAATATTTTATTGACAATGAGTATTATTATTTTTGTCTACGTTTTACGTTTACATTTTACAATTTTACAGTGCATAATACAGTTTAATCGGTTTAATGTTATCTATACCATGTCGAATATGAAAAACGGGAAAAACCCAATAATAATACAATTTAAAAGACTCGTAGTTAAACAACAAAGATTATCGTTATACTTACGTACTCGTAAAGGATATCATCTTAAACGTTGTATAAATTTTAACTTAATAATGTCCAAACGAAAAATAAATAACTTTTTTGCATCAGTAATAAATAAAAAACAAACTAATGATTCTGATTCAATTTTGTCACAAAAAAGCAAGTAAGAGATTTTAATTTCAATTATTATTTTAGAATAATAAATTAGAGTATATAATTTATATGATTTTCTAAATGAGTATCAAATTGCGTTTTCAGAACTGCATAAACTTTGTTTAATATCTATTACAATTCCTGTTTCCTCAGCTGGATGTGAAAGAACATTTTCTTGTCTTAAACGGGTAAAAAACTATCTCAGAAATAAATTAATGGATTCTCATATGTCAAATTTGAGTATGATAGCCATTGAAAAATTAGAAGCCAAAAGTCTAAACATTGATGACATTATTAATGAATTTGCATCATTGCACCAAAACCGTCGAATTATTTTAATTTGACATAATTTATAGTATGTATAGTAATACTTAAATAGGTACTATAAAATATAAATCATAATAAAAATTGTATAAAATGAAAAAAAAACAGTGACAAGAGTGTATAATAAACTAAAAAAGTATCTATCATATGTTTATGATTCCTAATTATGTTACCTATTCTATAAGCAGCTAAATTAAAGTATAGGCACAAGGCACATAAAAGTTAGTTTTATAGTTTTTAATTTATCATAATTTATTTATATTTCTGTTTAATACAAATTATAATTATTATATAGTGTTTAAATGTGTGAATTCATTTTATATTCATCATTTCTAACAATTACTAATTAGTAGATATCAATTATTGAATTATATGTATACCATTTAATATAATTATGTTTTTGACTATTTACTATGTTTGCTTGTAACGTTGTAACTAGATTTTGTAATATTTAGTAAGTTGCTAAATGCTAAGGCAAATAAAAATTGTGTAATTTTTTTATTTAAATATAAATGTTTTAGGTAACTTAAAAACAAATGTAATTTGTGTATTACCTATATTATAATAAAGTACCTACTCATTGTTTATGTAAGTTTGTTGAAAATGTTATCTAATGTTTAAGTGTGTAAATATTAAATAATATACCTATACCTATATGATATTTATTATTAATTAAAATGAAAACCAATAATTATATGAAAACTTAGTATATGCAACACAGTCTTTACAATAGATAGTGTGTAAGCCCCCTACCCTATACTGAGCCTATGAATGGGAAAAAGACAACGAATTGGGACTTTTTTGGCCCTACCAAATTTTCAAAGGCCACCAATGGGCCCCCCCAAGATAAAATTCCTGGCGCCGCCACTGTATTAGCTTGCTTAGCTATCATCAGTGCCGTAACTAGGCTACTTGAGGCCTGTGTGCAAACCAAAATATTGAGGCCCCTTATTATCTTTTTCAATACACACCTCAAAAACTTTTTTTGCAATTTTTGAAGTCAGCAGAAAAAAAACCGGTCAACACTTCTGCCGATTTTTTATTGTATTCAGAAGGACCAGTTCTATAGACCATAAAAAAATAATGTTGGAAAATGGTTAAACCAACAAAATAAATTGTTTCAAATTTTGGCCTTATGCATGTTGTTGTACAATAAATTAATTTACAATACAATTCAGCATTTCAGCCTAATTGAAAATATAATTTGTTGTAATTTAAATAGGTAAGTTGAGAATTTTAATCTTGAAGTGGTTGAAAAAATTGCAATATTTTATGGATATGGCAGGGCTTGCAAACGTTATAATAACATTATCCCTGTGTGCAATAATATGATTTTGACTTCTAGCGATTGCATTTTAATAATCTCAAGTGTGATATCCCAATAATACTTCTATATGATATGTTTACGAGACTATAAACAAATACAAGTTATATTGTTTAAACTTAGCGACGTCACAAATAGAGTTCTATGAGACTGTTATTTGTAATATTACATAGAAATTGTTACCATGCAATTACTGGGATAGTCGTACCATGCGATTACTTATAGATGTAACAATGTTATAATTTAAAATTTTTACAATGCGACGTCTCTGATATATCGTATAGATTTATGCAAATATTATCTAATGTTATCTCTATAAGACTATAAATAGAAATTATAAAAATATGTTATATTTATAAATTGCAGCAATTATTTTTTTTAAATAAACCGCCGTCTCGCCGTGATATCCCAATTAAAACAAAGATATTATAGTAGTAGATACTAGATACTCATCATTTATCAATTTATCAGTTCGGCTTCGGCAAAGTTTGTAGTTTTCCAAACGCAGCTAACGTACTAGGCGTCTACGTTAAAAACTTGCAGGAGTGTTGTGTACAACTTGTGTTATACATTTTACTAATTAAGTAGGTATATAACATTGTAACTAATAGTGAAACTGGCGTATCTTGTAAGTTTAAAGTTATAATTGTACCTATTCAACGTCTGTCCAGTAAATTATACCAATAGTATAACAAAGCGATCGTCTACTGTTAAACACACGATGTCGTCGAAACAGGTAATATAACTTATAATCAGATAATATGTATTATAATAATAGGTAACATACTTACTAAAACAGAATTTACTAATTATTTAGATTTTAGACTTCAACATTTTTGAAGAAATAGCAATTTTTAAATTAGCACTTAGTCTTATGACTTACTAAACTATCTACCTATAAATTATAAAACAGCTAAATTGTAATAATTTATTCATGTACCTATAGTAGTATTTGTAAATCTATTTATTTATATAATAACATATTATTTAGAACCTATTACCTAAGTCAGGGTGGTGTAATCCGCGACCCTTGAAGACTTTTTTTCATTTTTTTTTCTGGGATCAATTACTAATCAAATTAGTTACTTAAATATTAGTATTGTAATTTTTCAATGTTTTATTAAATTAAAGTCAGATTGGTATTAATTTAACCAGAAAGATTAATTATCTATAGATTAATGTTGAATTTCAAATTTAATTATTCATTATTAATTATGCACCAAGTTTATAAATTAAAGTAAGTATCTAACCTTTATGATTTTGTATCTATAATTTGAATGCATATTGATATTTTACAATTTTGCAGTGGGTCGTAGGCTATTTTAAAAAAGAAAACAAATATTCTGTGATACCATTTACTTGGATATTAAACTGCGGCAATGTTAATTTATCTAAATGGCCAATGTATGGTGTAGTGAACTCAATGATTATGGAAGCAACTAATCCAGAGTTAGATTGGCCAACTTTTCCAGTCAAAATAGTTTCACAACTTTTCAGTAAGTACCTATTACTAATAAATTAACCATTGAATACTTATAATAAAATAATCTTTATGTTCTAAACAGTATTGTAATTTGCTCACTAATCAAAAATAAATTGTTACATTTTTTACTTTAATACTTATATCTACCTATACATATGACATCATTTATGTATATACATACTGGCTAAAAAGGTTTTAAATTTTAGATTCTGAGCGGAACAATGAATGTATTGATTTTACAATAATATTTGTTTTTTTTATTTTGTATATTTTTTTGTGTCTGTCATCACCTTTATGGACAGTAAAAGTGCTTATATTTTCTTAAACAGGACCTTTTCTGATTAAAATAGACTCAATTTTTTTTTTATAAGTATTGAAAATTTAAAAAAAGGTGCTATGTAAATAGGTTATAATACATAAATTACTTTATTCACAATAATATCATCAAATATACTTAGTAATATCTTTGGCTGACTGGCCGTCTTCGCTCAGAGTCGTTTTTCTCATACAATGATATTATATTATTAAATTCAAATTTAACACCATCCATTACAGTGACCCACTTGCAACCTACTGTATGTAAGAGGAACACCCACTTAACCACCTTTTTAATTTTTACCTACATGAGTCAAATAAATTAAAATTAATTTAATGAAAAACATAAAATATTTACAATATTTATATTTATAATAATGTTTACTAATTTCATTATATTTAATATACTCCTTTGACCAACAGTAGTTGATTTTGTAAATTGTAGATTCGTTTGAGGATGCTAAGATGAAAGAAAAAGAATTATTCTTGTCTGCATCTGAATCCGAAAGTCCAGTGAAAAAAAAAAGAAAAACCAAAAAGGTTTATCCAGCGCAAATTGAATTAGAAAGTGACAGTGGTAAGTTTTTTAATTTTCCAATAATGGTAAATTATGCATAGGCACATTTAATTAACATTCTCTAGTTATACTAAATATATAAAAATATAAAAACTTTGAACTAATGTTATATTTTGTATTACATTTTAATATGTTACATTTTTTAAATATATTTACTTTTATATTAGATATTCCTAGAAGAAAATTATTAATTATTAAATATACATAAATATCTAATTTAAAAACCGCTGATAGACTAACTGTTTATACTTGCTTAGTGTATATTGTTAAAATACTAATTTTTGCATTACAGCTTGTAGTAGTACACACACAACTCCTATAAAAGTTTTGAAAAAAAACGATGTTAATGTAGTAGACCACCAACAAAGTGGATCTTCAGACCATTTTGAACTGCAGATAAATCAGATTTCCGATCAGTTATTACCAAACATTATTTCTTGTAAGTATTAAATTAATTTGTAATTTACTGACGACAGCAAAAATTAATAAATATGTTTAGCATCCATGAACACTTTGTATGATACTGTATGTATCAACACAGATGATTATAACGCAGAGATAGATTCACCTGCTATGTTTGAAATAAACACTCAGAGTACTCAGAGTATGGAACAATCAATATCAAGTATGTGTTACATAAAACATTCAGGTTTTTTATTTTTGCCAAAATACATTGATAAAACAATTTATAATTTAGACATATTAACAGAAAATCAGGAAGAATTTAATGATGTCAATATGATGAACAATTTATTTAAAAATGTAATTTCTATACTGGCATATGTAAAACGATTGGACAGCAAAATAGATTCATTGATCCAAAACAATAAAAACACACTTAACATTCAAACTGTTAACAACGATTTTAAGAAAATCTTTCCATTCAAATATATAGAATCCGTGGATGACATGGAAATCAAATTAAAACAAGATGAAAACACTTCTGATCAACTGGTAATTATGATTAATTATAATTAATATTTTTATTATAATATTTAAGTTATTAAAATAATTATTTAGTTCTATTGTTATTTAAACAGAGAAATCTACTGCAAAAAATTGGCGGCACTGGTCTAAAAAACTTTGTCAAAAGAGTTTTAGAACGATTATTTACTAACGAATTATCCACAAAATATTCATGGACCGGTTTCAAAGATAATCACTCACTAAGAAATTTAAAAATGATTAAAATCATGAAAGGTTATTAACAAATAATGATTTTTGTTAATGTTAATACTTATAAAACTCACTATGTTCTATCATTTTTAGATGTTGCCAATAGTACTTTTTCGGAAACTGAAGCCAACTTTGAAGCACACATTAAAGATTGGTTCCGTCACGGCTCTCAAAGATATGCAAGAGAACAACAAAAAGAATCTTCCTAAGCATTAAATTTTACTTTCAGTACATTCATTTTGTCATTTTGTACTACTTTACTATTTTATACTACAAAAATATTTTATATCAAAGAAATTATTCTAAAAGTTAAACCAATTTTAATCAATTTAAACAGTTTAAAACATAAATGCTTTGTAACATCAATAGGCAATTGTAAATATATAGCTATTGCATTACTTCACTAATCATAATATATTTTATATAATTTTCTTAAATACCATAGTATCAAAAAAAAATTGTCATACCTACCAACAGAATCATAGTCTCATTAACTATTTTACCTAAGCAGGAGGTACGTTATAATAGTAATATTATATTATTTTTATACCTATTGATGTGATTATTTTGTTATTATTAGGTATATACCTAAGTATATTGTATTAAGTATATTATAGGTAGGACCTATATCATACATTTAAATATATTTTTTTTATTTTTTATGATCAATTTGTATTGTATACACTAATACACTATATATAAAAGGTATTGTCTGATACTACTATATTATAATATATATATTTTTTTTAATATTAACATGTTCATATAATATATTATAATATTATCTATAACAATTACCCAGATAATTTGTTGTTTATTTTTATTTTTCATATCTTCCTAAGCATTAAATTTTACTTTCAGTACATTAATTTTGTCATTTTGTCATTCAGTATACATGTTTATTGATTATTATAATAAAGAAGAAGTAATTATATTATAAATTATGTTGTTTGAGATTTTCAAACTTTATTAGTATATAGGTAATAAATAATAATGTTAATATTTAAAGTTTTAAAAGACCTGTTTTTAATTATCAACCCATCCATTGTCAAAGCAAAATATGCTTCAAATTCTTAATCTAGTTGAATAAATATATAAAAAAAATACCAAACATGTTATGACCAAAGCAAAGGTGGTTGTATACAGTTTAAAAGATATATGTGATGGGGTTCAAACCAGATTTTTAGAATTATTTTTTAGAACCAAAGATCCTTGAATCCTGTTATAATATTAAATAAATAGGTATAAAAATAATAAATAGCGACAAAACTAAATTATTACAATTTATAGCTGTTAATAAGGTATTTATTTTTAAGTCTATATTTAGTAGGTCATTTTATTCTAATGAATATTTTTGAAATTTCTCTATTAATATGACTAATATTTAAATTTTAGACCCGAAAAAGGAAACCTATACATTCTACGACAAAAAGGCATTTTTCTCGTTACATTCAAAATGATTTATCAAATCAACTGTCATGTGTTAATCAAATTACAAACACTTATATCAGATCACAAGAACTTGAAATGAACTCAACAAATGACAATTTAGATGATATTTCAAGCACGGGTTTACAAATACCAATTGCATGTAATTTACCATCACCGGTTTTATTTGATAACTTTTCAAATGTAGTTAATTCTGAAGATAGTTGTTCTTACAATATTATTAGTAACATAAATGATAATGATTCTGTTGATGAAATTCCTTTAAAACAAAAATTACAACAGTGGATAAGTGATTATCATGTTTCTCTTAACTGTGTTAATTTATTCACTTTTGAAAATTTTAAGATTGGAAGGATTAAATTTGCCTAAAGATGCCAGGACATTATTAAAAACACCTAAAGCTCGTGAACATAGCATAATAAAATATATTCACCCTGGATCATATATACACCTTGGGGTAGAATTTATGTTAACTAAGATCTTAACTATAAATCTTGATATTATTGAACAAAATACTACAATAAAACTTGGATTTAATATTGATAGCTTTCCTCTTACAACAAGTTCAAAATCAAGTTTTTTGCCCATTCTTTTAAGCTTTGTAAATATTCCTAAGTTATTCAATATTGTGATACCGGTGGGTATTTATCATGGCAAGTTTAAAAAACCGTCATCTAGTCATGAATTTTTACAATATTTCACATCTGAAATGAAAATAATTTTAACTAATGGAATAAGTATAAAAGATAAATTAATAACATTTGAAATTAGTCAGGTTGTGTGTGATGCACCAGCCAAGTCATTTATTTTAAATGTGAAAGGACATAATGCCTATCATCATGGGTGCAATTCCTGTATTGTTGAAGGAACATATATTGATAATAAAAGGATGGCCTATCTAGATTTAAATGCCCCTTTAAGATCAAATAAAACTTTTCGAGATAAACAGGATTCCTTTTATCACAAAGACTCAAGCCCTTTAGAGGAATTTCCAATTGATATAACTTCCACAGTGGTACTTGAATATATGCATAACATTTGTTTAGGGGTTATGAAGAAGCTAATTGTATTCTGGGTAAAAGGTAAGAAACCTGTTCGTTTGGTAGATCCAAATGCTGTTTCAGAAGAATTGATTAATCTTAAATGTTATTTACCATCAGAATTTAATCGCTTACCTAGATTACTTGAAGAATGTGAACATTGGAAGGCAACGGAATTTCGCACATTCCTTCTTTATACGGGTCCTACTGTATTAAAAGGGAGATTGAAGCAACCTCTATTAAAACACTTTATGCTTTTAAACTATGCCATAAGACTTCTTATTTCTTCAGAAAATTGTTATACCCATAATAATTTGGCTAAAGACATGTTAAAACAATTTGTACATGAATATGGTTCTTTTTATGGTGAAGGATATGTTGGATATAATGTTCATGGTTTGATACATCTAGCTGATTTTGTTTTAATACACGGTAATTTAGATTTATTTAGTGCATTCAAAGTATGAAAACTATTTACAGTTTTTAAAAAAAAGTTGTAAAAATGATAGATTTCCTCTCCAAGATGCATATAACCGCATCATGGAAAAAATTGACGTTCAAATTAATAAAACTATATCTCCAATTATATATCTAATATTGAAACGCGAGTCAAAATTTAATACTAATTTAAATAATTCATTAACTGAAACTATGTATGAAGAAGTTGAGTTAGAACAATTTGTGGTGAGTTCAAAAAGTGTTAAAGATAAATATTTTATGTTGCAAAATAATGATATAGTTGAAGTTACCAAAATAATAAAATATTTTAATGGCCAGATTAAAATTGAAGCAATTAAGTTTAATTATTCACCCATGTTTGATTATCCATTTACCTCAGATACTACAAAAATATTTTATATCAAAGAAATTATTCCAAAAGTTCAACCAATTTTAAACAATTTAAACAGCTTAAAACATAAATGCTTTGTAACACCAATAGGTAATTGTAAATATATAGCTATTGCATTACTTCACTCATCATAATATATTTTATATAATTTTCTTAAATACCATAGTATCAAAAAAAAAAATTGTCATACCTACCAACAGAATCATAGTCTCATTAACTATTTTACAAAAGCAAGAGGTACGTTATAATAGTAATATTATATATTTTTATACCTATTGATGTGATTATTTTGTTATTATTAGGTAGGTATATACCTAAGTATATTGTATATAGTATATTATAGGTAGGACTTATATCATACATTTAAATATATTTTTTTTTTTTTTATGATCAATTTGTATTGTATACACTAATACATTCCCAGTGTGCAAAACTCAGTGTATGATACGTCACATGAACGTTGTATTGTGTGATGTGTGGTTGAAATTAAAGCCTAGTAACGTGAGAGCGACTTCTCCAAGACCCTTTATGCCAAGTTATTAGACCTAGGCTATATGCTGTTATAAATGTTACTCAAATTGGATATTATCAAATGCGATCTATGTTAAGTTTACCATGCGAAGTTGATATTGTAGTATTTTGTAACCCTTTTTATACATCACAAAGTGGACTTCCATTACCGGTTAAAAATTGACTTCCATTACAGGTTAAAAATTGACTTCCATTACAGGTTAAAAATTGACTTCCGTTTATATTTTCATATTATATTTTGCTTACCTACTAAATTCATTGTTTAAATTAATGGCTTCTAGTGAACTTTTAAGTTCAAATACTATTTGGTTTTATGGCGCACAAATATTTTGAATTAAAATTATTAATAATAGGTACAAAATGTTAAAATATATTATCAGAAAAAATTAACATATTATTTCAGATTTACTGCAAACTAAAGTTTATTTATCAAGTATAAAAATACAAATATAATATACATTTTACATAATTTAATGATTACATAAACAAATATTTTAAGCATTTTTTATAACAAGATTATTCATGATATAATATATTTAATGCTAGCTTATTGAGTCATAACTCATAATAAATTATTGATGGTTTTTAATATATGGATAAACCATTAACAATACATATATTTAATTTATACATTTATTTTTTACAGTGAATGCAATAAAGTAAACATTATAGCTTTATTATTGGATATAGAAACAAAAAAACATTTCAAACTTATGCTATCTAATGGTACTAAATAATAAGATGATACATTTAAAACATTTACATAAAAACATCCTACTTCAGTAGACTTAATCGGGGAGTTAAACATAGGATAACATTCATGAAATTTTATAACTTCCAACATTATACTAGAGTTGGGATATTGAATAATTTTTTTTACTGAAATAATATCATTTGAATGTAATAAAAACGTGTTATCTTTTAAATTATTACAAGTTACTGAGAATTTTTCTAAGATTATTGAACCATAATAAGTAACTAACAAATGTTTTCCATACAAGGGACCATAATAATCTATTTCATGTTTCAAGATTGGATAAGTGACATCAGTATTTAAATTATTAAATCTATTGTATTCAATTACTCTGTTATATATATCTTCTAAGGGATAAATACCATTTTTTGTAATTTTGACCATGCAGTTTAACAAAATTTGGTACGTGAATAAGTCCGTGAACATTATAATTTATGGTATCCTCTCCGTATAATATTGAATACATTCTAACAAAAGACCTAAGCATATCATTTGCAACATCATTAAAAAGAATACATGTTTTATCAGACATCAATAGTCGTATAGCACAATGTAAAATAATGAAATGAGAATAGTTTTTTTTTTAAGCGACCTTATAAAACAATGGGCCCTGTGTAAAGAAGAAAACATCGGAACTCTGAAGCTTTCCAAAACTCCATATCATCTAGTGATCTAGGTTGTCTACAAAATTCAGAGGGAAAATATTGTCCAAGATCAATCAAATCAGAATTAATTAAATCCATGTGTACTGATAAAAGTCTTATAGGTTTTAAACCTTTTACCCAGAAGCTTAATAATTTTTTCATAACTCCTAGGCAAATATTGTGCATATATTCGAGTACTACTACATTAGTAATGTTAATATCCAATGTTTCTAAAGGGCTTTCATCACCTTTGTGGTAATATTCATCTAATTTTTCTCTAAATGATTCATTTGTTCGTAGGGTACAATTAATATCTAAATAGGAAATACGATTATTAATAAAAGAACCTTCTACAATGCAAGAATTACATGAATGGTAGGCATTATGACCTTTGACATTTAATATAAAAGCCTTAGCTGGGGCATCACACACAACTTGACTAATTTTTAACTGAAAAGTTTTTTCATTTATACTTAAACCACCACTATCCATAATAATTTTCATTTCAGATATGAAATGTGTTAAAAACTCTGAGGCTGATGAAGGTCTTTTGCTTTTATGGTAATATATTCCAATAGGTATGACAATTTTTGATAAATTATAAATATGACAATTAACAAATGAAACTAGTATAGGCCAGAAACAAGCTTTTGAACTTTTAGAAATTGGAAGACCATCAGTATTACATCCTAATTCTAACAAAGATGTGTTATGTAGTTCATCAAAAAATTTAGATATTATTGGCATTAACATGTTATGAACCCCAAAATGGATATAAGTTCCTGGATTTATATTCAAAATTTTATGACTATTTGATTTAGGTGTTCTTAGTAAAGTTCTTACATCTTTAGGCCCATCCAATTCTTCATCACGTAAAATAGTTAGTAATTCATTTATAAAATGGTGCAAAACATGATATTTTGAAATTATGAATCTTAGTTTATCGGCTAAAATTGGTTTATTATTTTGTAAAGGATTTGTGATAGAATTTTCATGAAATAATGTATAGTCATTTAAAATTGTTTCAACATTTTTATTGGAAATAACTGTATTATGACTATTATTTATAACTTCAGAGTCTGAGACTAATAATTGTTTACTTAAGTTACTTGTGCTACTTGCAGAAGTACTATTTGATGACATTGATAAACTGTTTGGTATAATATTTACACTTGTAGACTGATTTTGAATGGTGGATTTAATGTGCCTTTCAAAATGCCTTTTTGACATGGTTTCAGGAGCTTTTGTTTTTCTTTTCTACAACAACCAATAAATAAATTAATAAATTAATAAATATTTTGAAACAACAAAATGTATGGAATATAAATATGCAGATTTATCTATCAAGACTATTATGAAAGTACACCCATTACCCAATATAGATTAAAGTGTAACATATTCTTAATTTTTATGTACCAAACACTCAGAAAACACATCATAGTAACTATAAGTTTATGACTATTTTAATTATGCAGAACTTCAAATAGGTATATTAATGCAAACGTATTCATAATATGAGATAATAGGTAACTCAAGAAAACTTGGCAATAATTAGGTATTTTTTTTGTTACTCATACTGAGGTTCTATAACAACTACTATTTCAAATTTATATAATATATAATCGTTTACTTTTATCTTAAAATAACTTACTACATTGTTGCATTCAAACTCGATGTAACATTATTATTTTTATTTTCTCTGAAATAACGCTGTTTTCCATGTTTAAACCATTCCTTCTCCAATTCTTCGAACATGGAGTCGGTGCAATCGTTGAATATAGTTTTACATACACCTAAAAAAACAATAGGAGTACAATTTCTTTTATCAAAAAAATTTATCCACAGAGTAATGTAAGTTGTGTACTAAAATATACTAACCATTCATTAAACTAAACATTTTCAACTTTTGTAGACCAAAGTTTCCTTATAGTCCGCACCAAGAACAATTCATTGCTAATTTATTTGTAAAAAGCCGACTTAACACCCTTCTTACAAAGTTTTTTACTTTAACTCCACTGATGGTTTTCATAAACATTTTCTAAAATTTTTAAAATACCTATTGTATTACATTTTTTTTTTTTTTTTTAATATTATTAATCTAAATAATTATTTACAAATTGTTTTTCAAATTCAGGACTATTTTCCAATCTTAAATCAACATTTGTTATTTCTGATGGTTCTTTCATTATAAATAGAGAGACAAATTCATCATTTAATGGTTTTTGTTGCATAATATTTTGATTTCCATGCTTCAACTCTTCTTCTATTTTATACAACCTACTATAAATTCGTTTAACATATTCCAGAACAGATTTTAAAATAATACTGTTGTCATCATTGGTCACTATTGAAAAAAAATTATATTATAGTTTTGGTTTTTTAAATTTTTTAAAGTAATATTACCCTGGAAATTTTCACACGAGTTATTAATCAATGAATCGAAGTTTGGTGGATTTGTTTTCAAACCTGAATTGCCACCCAAATGCAATGTTGTGTTGTTATTGAATATCATAGAATTATTAAAATTTTCAAATGATTGATGATGATCTAAACAAAATAATTTATAAAATAAAAACATAAATAAGATATTAGCTTTAATATTTAAATCTATATTGAATCAAAATTAACTATCTGGAATTGAAGAAGCTGTATTTCCACTATGTATTTCATTAGAATTATCTGGGAGTGATAAACCGGTAATTTCACTTAAGTTTGATTGAAGCATTTCTATGTGATCAGTAGGATTTAATGATTAATAAAGCTTTTTATAGGCTGAGAAAAATGTTCACCATTATTATACAATGTATCCATAGCATCTAGAATTAAATTAAAACACCTAACATGTAGTACTTATTATACAACAATTAATTACATAAGCTGCATACTATGCTATGTATATTATATTATTTATATAACTATATTACAGTTAATATAATATGTGTTAAGACTTTTTTAAACATTTAATAAATAATTAATTATTAATTATATTTGTAAGGTATGGGTATAGAGCAAGTACCTGCAACAATATTAGAAGGCAGAGAGTTAAAATCTAAAGATTTTCTAGGGTGAGGTGAAGAACTTTTTGGTTTGGCTTTAATTATTTTAACAGGGGACTCATCTGCACTGCTACTACTTACAAAAAAAAAAAATAATAAATATTAGTACCTATATATATTTTATAATTTTTTTTAAATAAACAAATTAT